TTAAAGTCAATTGTGTTGGGTTATTTTCAGCAGAGCTACAAATGTCCTAGAACTCCTTGGAAGAGTCACTGCCTATGCATTGAATTTAACTGGGATCTTTTATTGTCAAGTCATGCCAAGTTCAAGTTCCAAGGGATTGTTAAATGGGTCCTGCTTTGAGTAAGTTAATGCAAAGGGCATCAACTCTTTTTACATGGTATTTTTTTTTTTGTCATATCCACTCTGGGAAATACTTGCTCTGAGAATTTGTTTTCCTCCTAAACTTACAATGTATTTACACAATTGCTTTTCAGGCTACTTTTAATTTTTTTGTAAATTCATTTAATTGATGTGTATTTTTTTTTGCTTCGTTTAATCTCAAATGATTTGAGGAAATATGTTGATTCAAAATTCATTAATCATTAATGTGCTGCTTGTGGAATATGTGTTTTTGCATTTATGCTTTGTAATCGTTAAAAAAGAGGTGGGAAAGACACAGAAAATGCAATCCTATTATGAATGATACACTTTTAGTAACTACTCATTTTAGGGTACACTGCCATGATTTTTTCCTTGCTTTCTGTCTAATTCCTGCAATCCAATGATGGTAGCAATGCAAATTTGGTGCAGGGAACATGATGGTGACTGTTCTCTTGAAAACCCTTCCAATGAAAATGGCAATGTCAGCAAGTTGGATTCAGAAATTACCAAAGCTGATTGTGATGCAAATCGAAATCAGAGTATCAAGGTTCCAATGTTCCAAAACGGGGTTTTAAGGACCAATTGCATAGACTGTTTAGATCGCACAAATGTTGCACAATATGCCTATGGATTGGTGGCTCTTGGACATCAGCTGCATGCACTTGGATATATGGAATATCCAAATATTGATCTGGATAATCCTTTAGCGGAGGATTTAATGAGGATTTACGAGACAATGGGTGACACACTTGCACTGCAGTATGGTGGGTCCGCTGCTCACAACAAGGTAATCCTTATGGGTCTGGGGAGGCCTACTGTTTGCTTATATGATTAAAATATGATTGGACATAAATGCGTGGATGGAATACATTTTTTTGGCACAGCTAGCTGTTACCTTGGATTTTTTTATTTGTTTTTTAATTTGGAGGAAAAAACCAAGGGATTTTCTCACATTAGATTACGGAGCTTGTAGGTGTGTGATTGTTTAACTTTATTCAATTTGAAAATTGCAGTATGATGGGTCTGTCGCTCACTTAGATGATTTGATTTGTAGGATTTTTGAAATCATAAAGAAAGATCTACAAGCTTGTTGATGTTTCTTAGTTTTGGATGCATGTGTTTTTGGTGAGCCTATGGAAAAAAAAAATGCCAAACTTGTGTTGTAGTTCTGTTCAATGTTCCAGGGTGCACAAATTATACTATTTGACTAAGTTGGCTGTGTCACTTCAGTGTTTTATTTAAGAAATTTAAGTTTGCATGTCATCACCTCTTTGATTGCGATGTTAAGGAACTAAGGTAATCACTTTTGGTATCCTTACCATGGGAAGAAAGTAAGGTATCTCAGGAGTTAAATGAGAAATTGACGTGTTTACAATTGAAATTGTCAGCTCATTGCTTAAAAAGCAAAACATCCTTGTTTCTAAAATATACTGGATGTTTTATTCACTATGCTGCAATGACGATGTTAAATAGATATTTTCTGAGAGAAGAGGTCAGTGGAAAGCAGCAACTCACTCCCAGGAATTTTTTAGAACTCTACAGCGTTATTACAGCAATGCCTACATGGATGCTGAGAAACAAGATGCTATTAATGTGTAAGTTAAATAAGCTCTGTTCTTCACTGCCATCTTTACTTTCTCTGCAAAGAACATCCAAGTTCAGGGAGGCTTGTTTGGAATTGTCGTAACGGTTGCGGTTCAAAGTGCTTTTTGCTTAGAAATGCATTAAGATGATGATTTTTTATCTTTTAAAAATCATTTTTGATATTAGCGCATTAAAAAAAATTCAAAAACACTAAAAAATATTAATTTTAATACACACACACACACATGTATGTATGTATTTATTTGGGAACGCGGGTTGGACCGCGTTTCCAAACATGTTATAAAGCATGGATTATGCATTTGATGTGTGATTTTTGCCTTAATGTTTGTTCAGGTTCCTGGGTCATTTCCAGCCACAGCAGGGAAAACCAGCACTTTGGGAATTGGATTCAGATCAGCATTATGATGTTGGAAGGCGTAGTCCTGATTTAGTTGAGAATGCCAGGTAATGTATTATGTGTAACATGCTATATCTCAAGAACTTTTCTATAATCACGTAACTCCTGCAGTTCCATAATTATAGCTGAACTTGAAATGGTGCACTTGTTTAGGTAACCACTTCGTTTGGGTGGGTTTGGGGGTAACATTACGTTGGACAATGGGGTATAAAAGTAGGTAATCATTGACAATGCAAAAACATTTAACTGAGCTTAAGATTTGGCATGGACTATGATTTCACATGAAAGGAAGGAGAATTGTGTTGAGAATTTCAGTTTCTGCATTTGACAAGTTTTACACTTCGTATCTGGGGACTTCTCTGTGAATAAGAACTATGTAGAGACACCTTTGTGAATTGGAAAACTGTATTACAAGAAGATATATTGGTGAAAGACCGTGGTTTGGAGAACGTGCATATTTCTGATATGATGTATATTATTCTTGTATTGCAAATAAATCACCAGCTTAAAGATGGTTTTTTCCAGTAAATGTAATTGCTTATGTCATTTTTTTCAGATCATAACTACAACTTTGATATTGGAATTTCTCATTTCATATCTTTGATTCAAATGATTTTGAACAGAAGGGCATTTTTCCAATTAATTGTGTGTGTTTAACCATGTTTTTCTGTGAGCTTAATGCCAGGGTTGCTTTGCCATATAATGATTAGAACATAAATATCATGAACCTAGAATTTCATTTGGAGGGAAACTTTTATGCAAGCATTTCTTTTTTGTTATCTTTAGGTCACTCATTAAAAGATCACTCTCTGATGGCAATCTTCCCTGTGAAAGTGAGTCGCTTGTATCAGCTGCCAGTGTTGGATACAGTAAACCTTTATCTGAAAAGGAGGGTGGAGTTAATAAGGGTCTTTCAGACTCAACTCCGGAGATACCAGCTTGTGAAATTGACGTATCATATTCCAGGTCTGCTTAAATTGCTTAATGCTTCTCATGCTTGTTACGTCTTTATTACCCTATTTGATAAGACAGGCCCATGGTTTATCTGATTTGTATTCATCATTCCTCTTAGAGGTGCATGGTTGATGAGTAATTGAAAAGCCAAATAGCTTCTCTTTATTAAATAAGATATATTTCTTTACCTATTAGGAGATAAGTTGTCATTCCACTGCTATTGTAGTGACATCTACTCTTTCATCTAAAATGTAGGCATGGGAGTGGATAAGTGAGGTATATTTATAAAGGCTGAAGCTAAATCCTTTCATATCATGCATAAGTGAGGTATATTTATAATGGCTGCAGCTACAAAATCTGGCTGTCTTCACTCAAATTTCAACATGTAATTTTCAGTTAGAAATGGAGATGTTTGGATGCATGCTAAACCCTTTTATATCATGCATTTGTTGCATTTGATGTGCACCTATGGAGATGTTGATTAATGTTGGGTGTCTTTCTAGGTACATTCCCTCAATGCCTTGTAGGAAGATATTTGAAGATGAGGAATGCCAATACTTTGAAAGTGATCATATTTGCTATGATGAACATGGGGATGCTTGTAGCTGCTCAAATTTCCTTGATAAGGAGTGGCTTTCCTCGTCTGGGAATTCGTGTGAAGATCTATTTGATAGGTAGTTTTTGTGCTTCCTATTAAATGCTTCAGCTGAGGAGCCAAAGGCGATACTTACCGATTGTTTTAATGGCTGCAGGTCTAGTGCTGGCCTATCGTCTGAGAATCTTGCAAATGATCTGAAAATAGAAACCAGAACATCTGCTACAGAGTCTGGATCTAGCTTGAAGGTCAGTATGTTTTATTTAGTTGCAGTCTCACATCATGCATGATGCCTTTACGGCTACCATTGCAAGGAGTTGTCTGGACGTCATGCTGGCTTTCAAGAACGGAGATTGGGTTGCACTCACAATTTGTTTACAGTGTATATAGCAAGCTTTGCTGCAATTTTCTGGTGGATGACATACAATAGCAATCATGTTATTTGTCAACATTTAACTCAACTGCCGTCATGTGATTATTAAATTGCTTAAAATTGCCTGATCAATCTCTTAAATGTTTAAGCATCAAGATCCCATATACAATTTTGCCATTCCATGTTTCATCACTTGCTTTCCTGATTTCTGTTAGTTTCACAATGTTAATCTGCTGCTTCCTTTTGTTCAGGGAGGAAGTCAAACTGGGACCTATCTTTCTTCTGATGACCTTAAGGGTCGATTTTCAGACCACTTCGTGCGGTGGGTAATGTATGGGGAGATGCTGTCCCATTCAAGCTAACCTCCAATTTTCCATCACATCATTCATTTGAGCCATAATCCGTTGAATCCCATCCGAAGGATGTGGATTTCACCACAGAAAATAAGGATCAACCGAAAGATAGAAAGATAAAAGATATCATTTATTCAAGCAGAAAGTAGTTCTCGGATCGTGTAAAGACTCGCTGCATCTTGTTCAATTGCACGCCTCCAGAAAGGCATGATTGAGGAATCACAAGGGTAACTAGCTTAGCTAAATTCATTTGGATCTCCCGAGTCTATTTCCTCTAGGCCCCAAAAGAATAATTTTCAAAACCACCGTGTGTATATTTACATATATCTAGCGAATAGAACGGGCAGTTATCAACTGTTACATTCAAATGTTACTCTCCAGTCTTCACTGACAAGCGTTACACAAAACTGATTGCGTTATGATCTCAGGGTTGTCAAGTGATTTGAACAAAAGAATTCCTGCGGATGAATCATTCCGCTATGGATAATAGAAGCTTAAACAGGTGGATGCAGCGGCTTGGGCAATCAAAATTTACTTGAATTAGGACATGTAAATAACAGTGGGGGGCAACGGTGATAATAGAAGCTTAAATACTGACATGACAAAACACAGCATTGCTATGGATACCCCCTCCCCGACAGACATGTCCATCCCCCAACAAAAACTACACTCATGATTCCGGAATAAGTGCAAAACACGGTTGTTGTGAGCATGAATATTCCTGCGGAATTTAAATGTCCCAGCCAGTAGCAGCAGGGGCGGGACCATCAAGTTCAGTAGCTGAAAGGGGTACCGGAGCCGGAGCCGGAGCTGCACCCCATTCAACAGAAAGTCCACCTAATTTTTGAAGAGTGATGGAATGAAACAAGACTGTTAGTGCAAAAAATAACTGAAAGATAGGTAACTCGTAGGTCTGAATGAATTGTTATTACCTTGGTCTGGGAATAAGCTGGCAGCAGGAATGGGTTGTTGGGCAACATCAGCTGTCCATTGGCTATCGGCTATAGTGCTACTCCATTCGCCAGCAGAAACCCCGTAGTCAGCTGGAGGGAGTGCATAATCAGCAGCTGGAACTGTTTCCTCCTCTTCCTGCTGCTTTGCTTCTTCAGGTTCCCTATAAAAGAACAAGTCCACCTGTCCAAAGAAATGACAAACAAAGCAGTTCATAAGCTAAACAATAAATAGCTAATGTGAAACTGTAAAACTTACCAAGAATAATACATAAAGGCAATCCCAAGCAGTAGAATGTGGCATCAGAATACTAAACAATACAGCATTATGAATGCCTGCATCCGATGCAGGCAAATCATAACAGAAATTTTGCTATGGAAAGTTTGGTGTCCACAGCATGCAGTCATCCTTCTTGCAAATTTAAAGAGAGAAAAAACAGAAAGTGAACAGAAGGGGGCCTGAGGGATAGAATGTGAAACAGCTTTCAAATAAATATCTTACCATAACATCCCACTTGTGTCCTTGAGGAATAGTTCCACGCATCTGTAGAACCATTCTTGCCAACAGCCAAAACAGGCATCCGATGCTGTGCTTGCCTTTGTTATTAGCAGGAATGCCAATATCCACATACCGCATCGGAGAGTCAGTGTCACAGAAAGCAATGGTAGGAATGTTTCCAAGAGCTGCTTCCTTGATAGGCTGCATGGCATGAATGGTAAAGATTAAAATTCAAAGACAGAAAAAATAACAGTGTGCAAAAAGACCAATAGGCATAATAAGCTCAGTGATATTGATGAATTTCAGTTCACCTGGTGATCAGTCCTCGGATCAGTGAGGATCAAAAGATGAGGTTCACTGAATGAAGTCTGCATCTGGTTAGTGAAGGTACCAGGAGTGTGTCTTCCAGCAATTGCATGAGCACCAGTGTACTGGGCAAATTTGAGGACAGCTCTTTGACCATAGGGCCTTGCAGATTGAACAATAATATCTTGGGGGTTCTCAATTGCCACAATAACTCTAGCAGCCAGCAGAAGCTTTTCCCATGTCTTTCCAAGATTGATGATATAAATTCCTGTGCAATAAACACCACAAAATGTAACAAGAAACCATCATGAACTAAAGATGACCATGTTAAAAACTAAATACTCTTTTCCAGTCAGATGCATCACAAGGATGAGCAGCCATAATAAGCACACTGTACATATATTCGAAAAAAGGACAAATAAAAAACTACATTCAACAAACATTAAGCACAATTGACCATTAAAACAAACAAGTTTAAAATTATAACTCCCTTGCATCTAATAAAGATAGCAGATGTCAAATTGAAGCCTTAATAACAAATGACAAAAAACATAGAGCCACTAACTTTCATTTCACAGGTTTTCTCCCACCAATGATCTCAACATAACCAAATCTTCCAAAACAAACATCTCCAAGCCATTTCAAGTTCATTACTTCAGCACCAGAACTACCAAACAAGCAAGTATCTGCAAATACTCGATATCCAAAAACACAAATAAACTCTAATCCAACATCCATCAAAAAAAGAACAAACAAAAAGACTCAACCTTCAATTGATCAACATCCACAATAGACCATAAAAAACGAGCTATTTCCTCAAGATATAAGATCCACGCATCCAAAATAGATATGTATATAAAAAGAGTGTGCTGGGTACCATCATTGCGGCGCTTGAAAACGTAACGTTCCATTTGGAAGTCACAGTTTTTGGTGCCAAGATGAACCTCAGCGGCCAACATCAACTGAATGTCTAGCTCTTTCTGCGAAAGTGCCTTTGCTGTTGCCGCAGCAGCTGCTCCTGTTGCTGTCGCCATGGTTTACTGCTTGAGATTGTGTCAGCCTGTCAGAGAGAGAGAGAGAGAGAGAGATGAGGGCTAGGGTTTTTTATTGTAAGAGAGCAAGGGACTGACAGAAAGCTTCGGCTACCACCACTGGGGCCTTTTTTTAGGGCCCAAACAAATATATTATGGGTCCATATCTACTCGAACGACATGTCTACGTTCGATATGTCTAAGGTTAATGGATACAATATATTATGTGCTAATTTTTTTAATAAAAGATTTAATTAATTCGTTTTCATCATATCAAGTGTTCTCTGTTAATTTTCGTATACAGGTTGAAGTCCATTCATAATTTGGTTTCAATAAAACAGTTCATATCCAAATTAATTTTTTTTAAATAATATATTTAATAAAAAAATTAATATTCTCAAAATATTATTTACTTTTTAATTATGACCTTGTTTATTAACCTTAGTATAGGTTTACATAGAATTTAGTAAAATATGTTTGAATTAGCTTTTTGATTCTTAAAGCATTAAAATTAACTATACTATAATGTTTTAAATTTAAAAAATTAAATTAATTATTTTTTCAATATTCATCTTTAAAGGTAAAAGATGCAAAATTCACATATAGAATCTCACAAATACAATAATCACTAAAGGTTTTCATGCACCCTCACATTAATTAAAAGTAAAAATATTATTTATCAATATTTTTTTGAAAGTTGGATATGTTAAAAAAGCAACAAATGCATACGAATTCTTTTGTTTTAACCAACCAACATAGTTGATAAAGTAATAAAATTAAAGGATTCAATTTTTTAACAAAAATATTATTATTTATATATTTAATAAAATTACATAAAATCGATTTTTATATGTTTGGTGTTTTTGTTTTTTAATTGACTAGAACGATGATAGAAAAGCTTTTAATTATTGTAAGAAGCGACATCAGGTAAAAAGGAGCGCGAGAAAACAAATAAGCGATATGTCGCCCACCTAAGCTAAAACCCTACTACTTTCTCAGGAGTTAAAACTCTCTCTACGAGCAGGCAGAGGCAGAGGCAGAGGCAGAGGCAGTGAAGCAATGGTGACAGAAAAAAGCACGAAGCCCTCAAAGGACAACATAGAGGCGTTGAAATCAGAGGTAGCCTCTTTTGCTTCCTCTTTAGGCCTCGCCTCTTCCACTTCCTCCTACACTGGTTTCAACGATACTGATTTTCGAAACCCTAAACCTAAAGCAAAACCAAAACCAAAACCAAAACAAAATCAAAACGAAGACAAACCTCCTCCTTCTCAAAAACCCCATCTTGATAAAAAAACCTCAAATAAGCCTCCAACTTTTAGAAACAAAAATGACAAATCACAAAAACCCATTTCAAAACCATCACCAAAGCCTCCAATTTTGTCACTTGATGCCGGTGATGATGACAAGAACAGTAATATTTCAAGAAAATTTGACAAGTACAAGAACCTCCCTAAGTTGCCTTTAGTGAAGGCAGGTGCAGTGGGTGTGTGGCATGTGGACTTAATGGAATTGGAGAACAAAGTTTTAGGTGAAGAAAGCAAAGGAAAGTTGGAAGTTAAAATGGGTGTTGGGGAATGGAAAAGCTTTGTGGAGAAGAAGAGAGAGTTAGGGGAGAGATTGATGTGGCAGTATGAAAAGGATTATGAACAGGGTAGAGGTCAAAAGGGGGATATTAAGATGTTGCTAGCTACACAGAGGTCTGGGACTAATGCTGATAAAGTGTCTGCCTTTTCTGTGCTTATTGGTGACAATCCTGTTGGAAATTTGAGGTCACTTGATGCACTTTTAGGTATTCTTTTGGATTTTAATGCTGTTTTTATGTTTCTTTTTCTATTTTTTTAAATGTGTTTCTTTCCTGTTTCTTGTTGGCCTTCGTAATTGGTTTTCAATGAACTACGATCACAAAAGTTTCTCTCCTTGATCAACGATAGGATAGTATTTGGGTCATTGCTTGTATTTTAGCCATAGCATTGCATTTCACTTTAGCTTTAGCTTATGTGGAAGAACTATCGTATGGATTTTAGTGGATTAGTATGTGAAGATTATAGTGTAATTGAATGCTAAGTACTTCTTCTTTGTTTAATATGATTTAGTTCCATCTCCTGATTGGATGTAATACTGATTACAGGAATGGTAACATCCAAAGTGGGGAAGCGGCATGCTCTAACAGGATTTGAAGCATTGAAAGAGCTTTTTATTTCAACGTTGTCATCTTTCCTACTACTCTCTATCCCTTTTCTTTTACACGCTTTATATCCTTTTCATTTTCTATATTAGTTTAGGGAGTTGTATGTGGTCTGCTTCTGGCCACTTGCCTCTCTGTGTTGGTGCCTGATATAGGTTGTATTTGGAAAATTATGAATTTCACACTGTTGGCACTTTGTTCATTGTGATTTAATGGTGAATCTGTGCGGATGAGATGTTTTTTCCTCTTAGTTTGGTATTATCCTGATGGATGATATCACATGATCAGAGAGGTGTTCCTTGTCATAGCTTGCTATCAGTGGTTTCCCTATGTTGTGTTCACTCATTGGTGTACTAATCTGCCTTTCATATCCTTTTAACCAGTTTGCTACCTGATCGTAAGCTGAAGACCCTTTTACAGAGGCCTCTAAATAATGTTCCTGAGACAAAAGATGGTTATTCTCTTCTTCTTTTATGGTATTGGGAGGACTGTTTAAAGCAGAGGTAGGCCTCTTTCTTGCTCCTATCAATCATGTGGAAACAGCATGTCCTCAACTTTTCATTCCTTGCATTGACAATGCATTGCATGCCTTAATTCAATCCTAATTAGACATGCATTAATATCTCAGGTACGAACGTTTTGTTTTTGCACTTGAGGAAGCATCAAGAGATATGCTACCTGCACTAAAAGACAAGGCATTGAAGGTTGGCCTTCTCATTTAGTCCTCAAGCGATTTGTGTTCTTGCATAGATTTTGAAGAGTATAACATGATACAGCATGCAATTTGAACAATTGATGTATTTGATTTTTTTTGTACAAGGAAAAGTAATCACCATTTCCTTTGGTTTTACTTCTCTCTGATGTTATTGGTTACATCTTAGGGTATGTGAACATGATTAGCACTTTGTGATATTCTTACAGATAATGTATGCATTGTTGAAGAGCAAATCAGAGCAGGAGCGCAGATTGCTTTCTGCATTAGTTAACAAAGTAAGTTAGCATTTGATTCTACCTGTCTAGAGAATTAAATGTATTGTCTTTGGAAGCTCTTTATTTGAATGCGATACAGTTTCATGAAGCCAGTGCATGTATCTTACACCTAGATTATATATTACAGCTAGGTGATCCCCAGAATAAAAGTGCATCGAATGCTGACTTTCACTTATCCAACCTTTTGTCTGACCACCCAAACATGAAGGTACAACTTTTAAATATAGCTACTTTTATTCCTATATGTTGTTTGGCTTAAGAATTTATTTAGTTGACTCCTTTAGGCCATTTTATTTTACAGGCTGTGGTGATTGATGAAGTGGACTCTTTTCTTTTTCGACCTCATTTGGGATTACGATCAAAGTACCATGCTGTATGTCTAATCAAACACACTCCTTAATTGCTAGCTAATGATCTGGATTATGCTCATGGAATCTTTCTCGCTCTTAATTTTTATTTGATTTTGAAATTGTTCATTCAACTCCAATTACCATTGCTATTGTATGTTGTGATATGTTTCATGGTAGATCCTTAAAGCTTGCTATTGCCATCCTAGGCCATAGTTATCACATTTATATGCGTTTGATACATTTGTGCTCTGGTTATCCTGTTCTGTGATATTTGTTCTTGTTCTTCCTAATAATACCCAGGGAAGAAAAAAGAATGAATTAAGGCAGTAGATGTTGATCAGTAACTCATTCTTATGCTGCATCTGTGAACTGTGAAATCCATGTTTACTAGGGTTAAACTTAGAAGAGAAGTTATATTCAATTACTTTTGCATTTATAAATATGCTTCAGTTGTCTTGGCAAATGATTTATTTGCATCGTTCTTGCATGTAATTGATGTTGTTTGAAGTTTCCCAACCTAATTGGGTAGTTATTTTTCTCTATTTCCTGACCCTGATGCTTAACTAAATTGTTACTGAATTACACTCTTTTGAAGAATCTGCTTTCTGTTTTAGTTCTGAAAGAGATGTGTTTTGAACTCAAAACTTGAGCAAAACTGTGCAGCTCAGTTGATCTGGTTTAATTTTCAGCTCTTATACATATGCAGGTTAATTTTCTGAGTCAAATTCGTCTTGGTCATAGAGGCGATGGACCAAAAGTGGCAAAACATCTGATAGATGTATACTTTGCACTGTTCAAGGTATTAATGACTTTCATATCTGATGTGTTCTTTTCCCATTTGACCTCTCCTTTGTGAATAATGTCGACAAACCACAATCACAGGTGTTGATAACTGAGGCAGGCAGCAGCAAAAAGATGGATAAAAGCAGCAAGGCAGAGAGAAATACTTCTGGGTCTTCTAAAGAGAATGAGATAAAAAATTCACCAGAATCCCACATTGAATTGGATTCACGACTTCTATCAGCTCTTTTAACAGTCAGTATTAACAATTTTTATGTTTAGAGGAAAGTTTTATAGGAGAAGTCAAATGAATGCAGGCATTTCTTTAGAGCTCTCCATCATTTTAGTTTTGCAAAGATTTTGTTCTGTTAAGGCAGCAGCTTCAGAATTTATGCTTCCTTTGTGTTGCCATCTTGTCAGGGTGTTAATAGAGCATTTCCTTATGTTTCAAGTGCTGAGGCGGATGACATTATTGAGGTCCAAACACCAACGCTCTTCCAACTGGTAATCTCCTGGTCTACCATTCAATTGCCAGAGAACTCCGTTTAGTGATGTAACATGGCTACTTAATGATTGGTAAATAGCAATTTTGGTATTATGCTGTGCTTTAATAGCAATATATATATTTGATTGTGCAGGTTCACTCCAAGAATTTCAATGTGGGGATTCAGGCACTGATGCTTCTTGATAAAATCTCATTGAAGAATCAGATTGTCAGTGACCGGTTTTACCGTTCTTTGTACTCCAAACTCTTACTTCCAGCTGTCATGAATTCATCCAAGGCAAGTATTCAGTGTTTCTTTGCTAGGAGATAACGTTTATTTTCTCAATATATATATGGCTTCAATTCTTTGATTTGGTACCCTTTATTGCTTTTATATCATTTAACCATTCAAAACAGCTTGTGTTGTTTAAGCAGGCTGGGTTTTGTTTTTCCAATTCCCATCTATGATTTAAATTGACACTGGATCTCTTGTTTTATTGTATTTCCCTTTTGTATGGTTTGCACCTCAGGCAGAAATGTTTATTGGACTCCTTCTGAGAGCCATGAAAAGTGATGTAAATCTGAAGCGGGTTGCTGCCTTTTCAAAGCGACTATTGCAGGTTAGTAATCTATCATTCTAGTTGGACCTATCTATAAATGCTGATCAACTCTTTTTTCTGATTTCCTATTCCTGTTTCACCATAATAGCTTATTGTGTAAGATTCGGCATTAATTGCTTCACATATATCTCTATTCTTTCTAGTAGAATGACAGAACAAGGCATTAGTGTTTCTTATGTATGTCTTTGAGGATTTATTTTAATCACATGGTCATTTGAGCATTCAAAAGGGCACTCTATATTTTGAATTTTTCAGTCTGATTTTTTTATAGAAAAAAGTATATGTGGACCGGTAGGTTTATTTTTTCCTTATCTTCTGGAAGGCTAGTACCTTTCTTTGGGATGCATTTGAAACGAAGATTGACCTTAGATACTTGGACAGGTTGCCCTTCAGCAGCCACCGCAGTATTCCTGTGGATGCCTTTTTCTCCTCTCAGAAGTTCTCAAAGCACGGCCACCTTTATGGTAATATTGATTTTTATTTTTTGTTACTAGTTTTTTTTCAATGTTTTGCTAACTTGTTCTATCCTGCAGGAACATGGTGCTCCAAAGTGAGTCAGTTGATGAAGATCTTGAACATTTTGAAGACATAATTGAAGAAACTGATAATGAACCTTCCACAACACCCAAAAAAGAAGAGATCGAAGTTGATTTAGTTGAAAATGGTGATAAGATCGACTCTGAAAGTGATTCTGCAGAAGATGAAGATGATTCTCCTGCTTCTAGCTCCGAGGATGATGTTTCAGATGAAGAGGAGTTGCTAATGGAAGACAGTTCAAAAGAATGTCAAGAATCACAACCACAATCAGATCATAATGGTAACCAGCCACAAATAAATTCTTCAGGATCTTCCCTGCCTGGAGGATATGATCCACGTCACAGGGAACCTTCTTACTGGTATGTTGTCTATTCTACAATTAAATGGGTGCATTTGGGTTTTGCATCATATAATGTGTATGTGATATATATGCTTTTCATTTCTTTGGATAAAAAAGAACAAAAAGGAATTATGGGCCTCTTTACCATCACTTCAAGGTGTTGATGGTTTTTTCTGACTTTATTTTCCTATTTATAAACAGCAATGCAGATCGTGCTGGCTGGTGGGAGCTGATGGTACTTGCTTCACATGCGCATCCATCTGTTGCTACCATGGCTGGGACACTTCTATCTGGTGCTAATATTGTTTACAATGGAAATCCACTAAATGATCTATCACTTACTGCTTTCCTAGACAAGTTCATGGAGAAGAAACCCAAGCAGACTGCATGGCATGGTGGCTCCCAAATTGAACCAGCCAAGAAGGTTAGCCATCATAACTGGCACTTACTTTTGTTGCCCTATTGTGTTTGCAGTATTTTTTTATATATATAATGAATTTCAGATTTCCCTGTCATTTAGGGTTCGAAGCTTTGTTTTTTTTTTTTGTGTCAGCATCAACAAAAGCATCAGTTCCTTTGTATGATCGCTGACTTTTTCATTTTTTCAGCTTGACATGAACATGCATTTGATCGGGCCTGAAATTCTTTCATTGGATGAAATAGATGTGCCTCCAGAAGATCTTGTCTTTCACAAGTTTTATGTGAATAAAATGAATACCTCAAAACCAAAGAAAAAGAAAAAGAAGAAGGCAGCTGAAGAGGAAGCTGCTGAAGACTTGTTTGATGTGGGTGATGGTGATGGTGATGATGATGATGGTGATGACGATGTGGTTGGTGATGATGAGAGTGACAATGAAGAGATCGATGATCTGTTAGACTCTACCAATCTTAGTCACGGAGCAGAAAATGAATACGACTATGATGACTTGGACCAAGTTGTTAACGAAGATGACGACGACTTAGTTGATGATGCGGAGGTGGATGCCCTAACAGATACTGAGGGAGAAGATTTTGACACCATTGTTGACAGTGACAATGATGCTGTTGATGTCGGGGATGCAGATGATGGTACTGACAAGGATGGGCTTGATCAACGGAAAAGAAAGCGGAAGTCTAGAGGGAAGGCAGGTGCATCCCCATTTGCAAGTCTTGAGGAATACGAGCATATATTAAACGAAGACAGTGCAACAAAAAAGAAGTCAGAAAAAAAGAAAAAGTCTAAATCACTGAAGAAGAGAAAATCATCTAAATAGTCCTAATTTACGTTGTTGGTTTTTCTGTACTGTCATGTGCCTTCAAATTCCCAAGAAACCACACAAGAGTTTGGTGTGTATTGTTGGTGCATTTTCCTCGTTCGCTTCAAAACTTCTCGCCGAGTTATTAACCAGGCAATTTTGGTAGATCAAGCAGCATGGCCAAACTGGTCACGACAGGATTGTTGATTTAAAATGTATTTAATTTTAAGCTTTTTTGTTCGAGTTCTGCTCTTTAAATTTGCCAATTGATTACCTGATACTGAAATTGTTGCTGTTACAAGCTCTCTAAAAGATGTCAAACTCTCCTGCTCTGTACCCTGGGAATTTAGGCCTTCGCTGTTACCCCTGAATCTTTGACTCGAATGCTTTGATGGGGGGGTGCATTGCTTTGCCTCTTCTCCATCTAGCAAATATGGTGATTTTTGTATTTATATTGCATTCGATTCCATGTCCTGCTCTTCTGCTCTGCCAAGACCGATCAAACCGCAGAGCATCAAAATTTGGTGACGGCTCAACCTTGAACTTGCCGAACTCAACCCATTTAAAACCATATAGCATTGCAAACAATGCTGAGCGCGTTTCAACTGCGATTACATAAATTGGTTTCAAATCTTGACACCGCACGGGTTTGTTGCACCATCGTCATCCACATTTACCATAGCTTAAGCCTAAGATGCTTGCAAAATCATATACTTCAAGAAGACAAACGGAACAAAACCCTAATTAAGAGCTCATTAAGCAAACCATTATCTTTCTCAAATTTTCTCTCCACTCTTCAGTCTCCTTAATTTCAAGAGATAGTAATAGCAACTGTCTGTCTTGGGTGGTGGAGGATGCTTCTCAACAACCACAGGCAAAACCCCGGTCTCACATTTAGTAGTAATGGCGGAAGACACCATGGCATTCTCGGGCAACCGGCTTCTCAACAACCACAGGCAAAACCCCAGTCTCACATTTAGCAGTAATGGCAGAAGACACAATGGCATTCTCGGGCAACCTGAACTTCCTCAGCAGCTTCTGAGGTGCCTTCCTTTCAAGCCTGATGTACTTGTAGGCTTCCTCATCACCATCTTCGCGTTTCCTCTTTCCTCCACTTTTAATCACCAGAGTATTCTCATCTTCAACAGTCACCTGTAGTCAATAAAATTGGTTCAGCAACAAAGATGTTCTTATTTAAAAAACTACAGCAAAAAATGGAACATTGGCTATGCGTACCATGAATGATATCAGACTTGGACAATCCAGGCTCATCCATGTAGAAATGTACTCTTTGGGAGTATCCAAAATGTCGACAGGAATATTATTGCTCTTGCTCATCTTCTCAACAAATTCTTCCTGTAGTCAGTAAATAAAGGGTGCTTGTTTCTTGTGAAAGTTGGACGAGGCAAAATGAGAGAAAGACGAAAGTTTACTGGCAGGAGGCTGACTTAAACTGTTTGGTTGCTAAGAAAATAGTGGACTAAACATACATATGAACACACATAAAAGCAGAGAGGAAAGTTGGAGAGCGAAGAGCATGGAAAAGTCCCTGGTGGTTTCGAAAGTGCCTTCGTGTCCATGCGATACGAGTTTTTAATTGTCTATCGATAATATTTGTGACCTGATCTGCTTTGTGAGGAATGCAATGTTTAATTTGCGCATCATCTGGCTGTGATGGCTGAATTTATGATCTCAATGTTCTTACAAATCATTTCTCAAAATCTCTTCCTTAATTTGTACGATGTACCACAAAACTTTACAATTTTTCCTTTTTACGTTATTGAATTTTCATCATTACCAACCTTAAATATATTGGTATGAGTTTTAAGTAACCATTACATGTCCCCAAAAGTTATTATAGAAATTAAAAAGTATGATTAGTTTTTAATTTACTGAATATAAATTTTAATATGTATAATATTTTTCTTATTACATTACAATAGATTAATCTTTGTTAGAAAAGCATATTTAATTTTGATTTATACGTAAATGATTCGAATTATCTTCCTCTCAAATAAAAGAATTAAAAAGAAAAAACGTGATTGTTACATGACATCTACAACTGTAAATTTTTTTCCTGCTGCAACCGCGGTCAATTAGAACCACGTTATGGCAGAGAAATAACACAATTTAAATATAATTTTTAATATTGGTTTTGTTTTGTATAACAGTTGTTTGGTCAAATCAAAGCTAAAATACATGTCTCTTGAACATTAATTAATATATACAAAATTCAATTCCAAAATCCTGTAAAAATTAAATCATCAAGAGATGAAATTTAAAATTCAATAACAACATATATATATATATATATATATATATATATATATATATATATATAAAAGTTGATATAGTAGCAGAGAAATAAAAAAAGAAGGAAAGAATGAGTCACTTAGAATACACTAATGCTTTATTTTTTACATAACTTGTACCATTAAAAATATTTTGATAAGATAATTTTAATTATATCTTTTTATGAACTAGTTATATTTTAAATTAAATTAAATAGTTACTATTCAGTTTTATCTCAAGAGTTATAAATATCAAAATTAATTATAAAAATTAATTCAAGGATGAATTAGTTTCACTAATATAGTAAGTTTGAAGTTCATAGTTCTAAATATTATTTTTTGATATTATAAATATTTATATAACAATATTAAAAAAACAAATAAGAGAATTCTTTCACCATAACTTAATTTACTACACAATAAAACCCCACACTTATAAATATTAGAAGAGAGTGTTTCTTTGCGATATGAGATAAACATATATTTTTATTTATTTATTTATTTACAAACTACACAACAAAGACAACCAAACGAGGTGTAATTACTTCTAAATTAATTCAAAACAAACACCTAACCAATTATGGCCTAGTTTTTTGGTCTTTCTAGGTGTGTTTAGAATTGTTTTGTTGAGATCTTTCTAATAATATCGAGTGTGTTGAAAAAAAAATTCTAATGTATCTCTAATGACCTATTCTTTCCTTCCTTTTTTTTTCTTCCCACATTTATCTCTCCTACCACAGCCACATCAGCTTATCTCCTATCTCTTTCTTAGTAATTAGATCTTGAATTTCATCTCTTCTCTATTGAATTTTATAAAATTTTAGATTGACTTTAGTACATGTTAATTAATTTACATAAGATATAGATTTTAGCTTTGAATAAACAACTGTTATTTCTAATAGCTGTGGTGTGCAAAAAAACATATTCATAAATATGGTTGTGTTCAAACTGTACCATTTTCCAAATATTTTTTGAACTCATGTCATTCTCCCCAAGCTTTTACCAATCTATGTCATTTTAAAAACAAATCTCTTTACCATGAATACACCTTTTAAATAATTGAGCTACCATGTATGTATTAAACTAGTAGGTTGAACCGTATCCTATCGCAAGTTGGATTAAAAACAATTTTACATAAAGAAAGAATGTGCAAGCGTTGTTTTTTTAGCATATTTTTTCAACAGTAAACTGAAAATATAATGTGTTTTTTTAATAAAATAAATTAAAAATTATATACTTCAATAAATATTTTTTTATTAACGTTAACCAAAAATCAAATCAAGAAGTTGAAAGATAGATACCAATTAAGATATTTGATCTTGTATTACTCTAATTTTTTTTAATTTAATTATATGACAATTAGTTCTTTTTGTATGAAAAGTAATAATTTAAATTTTATTGAAATAAAATAACTAGCAACTATAATTCCTCCTTTTCTTGTTACCTTTTTTTTTCTAAAAAGAAATATAATATTTTGTTATATGGTCCTTATTTAATACAAATAAAAAGCAACTAGAAATAAAAAAAAGAAAAAAAAAAGGAAGAAGAATAAGAAGAAGAAGGATGATTTGTAATAAGAATAAGAATGATACCTCTCTAATTGAATGACACTCTATTTTTCTTTTAGGCATTTCTGTCATAATATTTGTTTGTTAGATAATATCTTATTATAATCATAAAAGTAAGCTTTAACTAAAAAAAATTATAATAATTTAGACATGAATATATTAAATAAATATAATAATAATACATCATCCACCCCGTTGTTGCTGTAAAATTTTTGAAAATATTGCCAAATTAGCTTGGCTTGAAAAGTTAATCTAGAGACCCCTACCCCAATCCCTTATTTGGCTCAAGTTTTAAATTAAACTAGATAAAAATTAACCCGAAGTAATGTAGCGAGTCCAAACATGACTCGGTCAAAAACCTTGTCGAGACAACATTATTTTGTTTCAACATAATCTAAGCTAATTCTAGTTAACCTGCTAAACACATGAGTCGGGTGATGAACCTAACAAAATTTAATAATTTTTTAAAAAATATTTTTTTAATTATATAATAATAAAAATAAACACATAGAAAAACCACCAAATAAAAATTAAAAAAAAAAACAGTACTCAAGTGCATTCTAAAAGAGGGCATGTTAATGTTATAAGAAAAATGTTATAACCTTATTTATAAACACATTTAAAATTGAATGGTATTTTATAAAATAACATATAAAATAAAATTTAATAATTCATTTTCATGAATTTTAATTTAAATTGAACAAAAAATATAAAAAAACACACAAAGGTCAAGCACTGACCTATTAAAAAGAAGGGCAAATGTATAGGTTTGCAAGGCTAGGACTACATGTTTGGTTACAATATTTATGTTTGGTTACAATATTTGTTCTTTTTCTTAAAATGAATGGCAAATATGTTGTGTGTAGTTGTACAAATGAGCTTTGTCATTTTGATCAAGAAAATCTATTTTAAGCTATTTTTCTGCTTGTGAACATCTAAGAAGCATCCCATAAACCTTAATAAATTTATATTTAACCTCAAAATAATATTTAATTACTTTAAAAGCAAAAAATCAACGTGAATAAAAATTATATTATTCATGAGCTAGGATCTAATTGAAGCAAAAAATCAACGTGAATAAAAATTATTCATGAGCTAGGATCTAATTTTTTTAGCAATATAAAAGGTAAAAATCATTTAAATTAAACCCTGGTTAGCAAATAGAGCTTATTAATATTAAAATCAATATTTTTAGCTATGAGAATGTGAAAAGCTGATAATTTTCTTTCTCATTCCTTATTTTCTTATAATTCTCCCTTTTTTTAAATGAAATTTTGAACTAAAAGATAAAAATTTCAAACTAAATGGACTAAAAAAACTAAAATATTTAGGGATCAAAACTTTCAAAAACATCCCTCATGAACAATGGCAAAAAAAGAATAAAAAAACATGTATTTTTACTTTAGAGTAAAACTTCATTCCCAAAGTTTTAACTTTTTATAAGCAATAAAATTTAATTTAATTTTATAAAAATTAAGCATTAATCCAACACCGAAACATTGTTTTGACACCTCGCGAACTCTATAACAAATAGATCAAAACAATTCATTAAATTTAATTCTCAATCAATACAATATAAAAATAAAAAGTTCATAAATAAAAAAATGCTTAAAATATAAAAAAGGAAGAATACTATCCCACTCAACAATGTTACAAGCATGGCGCGCAATACCTTGCATCTAGTGGTTCCACCATTCCTGTGAACGTAATTGTGATTGAAAGCGCAATACCTTGCATCTAGTGGTTCCACCGTTCCTGTGAACGTAATTGTGATTCCATGTAATTGTAATTATCCAGTCTTGATTCTTGCATAGTCCTGTCTGGGCATGGCGTCTTGGGTTTGGCTTGTTATACATTTTTTTATCTCCGGCTGTTTTCACAATATTACCGGCAGATCACATGGAAACCACAACCTGGACCAGATCCGATCTCGTGGTTCCCCACAGCACAATATCTGTGTTCCTCAGTACATGCAACATTGGAATCGTCATGCAGCTGTGTGTTTGATCTCATGTCTGCTTTAAAGCTCACAAGCAGCGTATATGCTCTTCTTCCTTTCTTCTTCCTTCTTATGAATGTGTCCTAATTAATGATCTTGTTAAGCATGATCTGACAATGATTAGGAGCTCATGATCTCTTGCATTGCACATGGTATAACCCCCGGATACCTACAGTAATCTCTCCTCTCTTTTTTTAATTATCAGAATAAGATAATTTCTCTATTTTATATATCGAAAAATAATAATTACCCACAAAAATTGTAAAATCTCAAAGTTAAAAATTGATCGTGTGACCTCCTTAATCATATCTTATGGCTAGTCCTAATCACTTGTGCTAATTATTATAAATTAAACGAGTTGAGGATGCTTTAGTTAATTAGTGATAATTATCACAATAGATCCAACAAAAAAACCAATTCGCAATAGAAATATAAATATAAAATTGGAGGGGTTTTTTTTTTT